GGCTTGTATTATCGATCATAACATACACTTCAGCCTTGATTCTCATAGACTGTTCACAGCCTCTCTATTTTCTCAGATCGTTGTAGCCGCTCGCTGTTAGCGTCGAGAAAATAGAGAGGCTGTGAACAGTCTATGATTCTCAATATCAATTTTGTCCTTATTTTTATTTTCTCTCCTTTTGCCTTTCGCAGTTTCTTGTCACAGCGGTTCTAAGATGCTTTTCTTGGTGCGATTTATCATGTACTAAAACGGCCACATTTACTGTCACTCTGGAATCGTTTGCTCGACAAAACAGGGCAAGAAGATTCCTTTTGGTGACTCAGCACAGGAACGAATTCACACTGTCATTCACCGGGAGGCGGAGGGAACTGGGCACAAGTAAGTACGACTGTTCAGCCCCGTGTAGTAATTGGAGTAGTATTCATGGGAATGCGTGGACAATTTTGTTATCAGCCTTCAAGGAGGGAGAGGGGGAGGGGGGCTTATTTCTAAATCATAAATCTCCAACTGCACATGAAAATAAATTTCACCGGGAGGCAGAGGGAACTGGGCACAAGTAAGTACGACTGTTCAGCCCCGTGTAGTAATTGGAGTAGTATTCATGGGAATGCGTGGATAATTTTGTTATCAGCCTTCAAGGAGGGAGAGGGGGAGGGGGGCTTATTTCTAAATCATAAATCACCAACTGCACATGAAAAGAAATGTTAGATATTTATTGGATGGGCAAGTCTAAAGGCTAAAATGCTTTTATATATTGGATGCCTGAGTGAGAAATCAGGCTGTTGAGGGTAAAGCTTCCATTTAACACTGTAAGGGAGAGTTCACTTCTAACTCTGATACTTTGGAACTACCACAGAGCTACAGTTATTAGAGTGTATACAGCTGTTTCTAGAAAGGTTGTCTGAAAAAAGCGCACGCGACAATCCCGAAAGGTAATCTGGGATATGATCAGCAAGGTACGTTCCTGACACTAGCTGTCGAACCTACTCTTGTTGCTTTCTTTTAGCACTCGCAAACATACGTCCATGGCGTCTCGTGCCATTTTCTCAGATTTCCCTGAAATGCTGAAGTCAAGGAACCGTGAACTTAAAACTACCCACAATACCTTTCGGGATTGTCGCGCGCGCTTTTTACGACAACCTTTCTCGAAACAGCTGTATGTATTTAGCAATCATATTTATGCTGTATATTGAAATTATGGACCGGCAAAGCACATTTTGGTCTAAGCCTGTGTTTCCTGAGTTTTCACTATTTGTCAGACTGAAGTGGTTCTTATATATTGGGGGTTTAATTTGCCAAATTTTAGCCTGCATGGAGGTTCTTAATCCACAGTTTCTTATATGTGGGTTTTTACTGTAGCTGTTGCATGAAGAGACCTTAATAGTGCGATTTTCAACAGTTTTTAATATTTCTATTTGTTTAAAAATTGAAGAACCGTAGCCAGGATAAAACATATTAAAAACTTTAAAAAACGTTATCTGGTTATATACAAAATATAAAAAAATAATAATACGAAGATTTATTTTTAGTCTCACCTATTTTTGTATATATTTTAGTAGTCACGTCTTTTCCAATTCACGTTATCCATAGAAGGCTGTATAGTCTGACAGCCGAAAGCTCGAAATATTTTAATTGTATATAGCCAGAGAACGTTTTTTAAAGTTTTTAACATTTCTATTTGTGTTTATGTATAGACTTTACTTGCAAAAAGGAATGCACATCTTCTAACATTGTATTCAGTTTACGCCCCGCTGGAATGCCGGACTACGTCGTGGCTGTGGATAAAAGAAACTTGGTGTTGGAGGTACAGCCCTGCAATTCAGTTATAAACTTTCACGGACTCTTAACAGAGTTATAGATGGACAGATAAGATATTATAATCGTCTGTAAACGTTAGATAGTGCATGCAATGATGTCTTTGTTGTTATTTCAAAAAACAGATCTTTTGAAGACAATTTTATGGCACTCTTGTGAGTTAAATAGGAAGATTTAATTGTAATCGTTGAGTTTAAGAGGGTTAAAAAGAAGTGTCACAGTGATTTATCTATTGTTTCAGCTTCCCCGGTCAGCTTCCCTTCACTGTAAACGAAAGGATTTTTAGTACCATCTGACTGATCTTAAATTTTAAATTATTATTCTAAAAGTCTTCGACGCAGCCTTCACTTCAAGCCTTGCGTGACAATTAAAATAACCACTGCGAAGGACCCTAGAGCATAACACCCCAGAAAGACAGGAAGTTCTCGTCGTTTTATAATTTGTACCTCTTAGGAGTGAAAATAAATTCGAGCCACACCAACAATTTTTCAGATGGGAGTCTCTTTCCCCAGGGTACAGCCCATTATCTCATCTGTAAACGAAATGACTAATACATTTTCGCAGTAGGTCAATATTCTCAACCTCTATACATGAGCTATAGGAGACGTTGATTTCGACTAAATAAAAGCAAATTACTCACAAAGAAGTCGTATTTTGTCTTTAGTTGTCATCTCAGCCTATACATTGGGTATTCGAGGCATAAAAGCAACAGAAACCGGCTCAACGTTTGGCGAGTTGTTTCGTTACAAGACTTGGGTAACCAAGCTTTTATTCAACTGAGAGGCCCGGATGTTCAACTAATTACTCTCATAGATCGACATGTTGACTTTTGATCGAACCGTTAGAGCGAGAGGACTCTTTATTAAATTAAAAGAGCCGGTTACATCACAGGTGACCAAAGCGTACTATAAGAGTTTGCATGGATTTGAAATTTAATTGAAAATATATTTTTCCTTTGAAAAGCTTCAATAAAGTTTGAAACCTGGTGCTTCTTTAAGCCATTTGAGCTATTTTCGTTTCAACGGTCTATCACATACTCTCTTAGTATCGTGGCCTCTGGGAACGAGAATGATGTATAGGTTGAGATTACAATTAAAGACAAAAGACTTCCTCTTCCTTTGACTTTGTAAAAAATTGCTTTTATTTAGTCGAAATCCAAGTCTCCTATATCTCATGCTCTATATTGCTCATTTGCAGAATTCATCAACGATCAATCCGGTTGACAACAAATGCAAGTTCGAGAAGAGAAAAATCACTCTGCATTACCATGACAACACAATCAACTTGAATGCGAAAGAGCGTTATGAAGCACTGATGTTTCAATCCATACCCCGCGCGGTTATGAAAGGAAGCAGGTCTGGAAAAGTGTTTTTGGACAAGTGGAAGAACTGGAAAGACTGCCAAGCCTGGGTCAAAATAAATATTATATAACGGTGAATCACGTGACACGCGCAGTTTTAAGTAGCGTACATATACCGGACACATTATAAACCGAATTATTATACATTTTAATTTGCTCGCTATCTCTATTCCCATTGGCTGAGAACATACATAGCAACACGACTGCTAGACTGAGTTAAACAGGTATTGCTGTGACAAGTTTGATCAAGTCTTACATGTAAATGTTCCTGAAAGAAAGTAAAAGCTTGATATGCTTGACTTATCATCACTTACGGCTTCCTATGCGACGACATAATTCTCCGAAATAGCCAGTACGGCCAAGGGTTTGTTGGGTATACTAGAAGGTTAGTAAACTTGTTCCTAGTCCCCTGAAATATATGGAACCTTTCCCGGATTCCCGGATTTTAGTTTTAATCTCTCGGCCTCTTTTTTGCTCAATTACACTTCCGTATTAAGCCCCATCCACACGAGCAAGTTTCCTTGACAAGTTTTCCTTGCTCGAGTGGAAAGGGAAATTTGGAAATTTTTTCCTTGACAAGTGTCCTTGTTCAAAAACAAGCGTGCCAGTTTTTGAACAAGGACACTTGTCAAGGAAAAATTGCCAAGTTGCGAAACTTGTTCGTGTGGACGTGCAACAAGGAAAACTTGACAAGGAATCCCTGGTGCCCAGCGGCCTTAACCTGGATCCTATTAAAGACGATAATCCGCTGTACAATATTATTGTTGTTACAAAGAATAATTGTCAAAGAAAAATTGTTTATCGTCCACACGAGCAAATAAAATTTGCCAAGGAAAAACTTGTCAAATTAAATTTGTTGTTTATCCACACGAGCAAGGAAAACTTGTCAAGGAAAACTTGTCAAGGAAAACTTGTCAGGAAAACTTGTCAAGGAAAACTTGCTCGTGTGGACGGGGGCTTTACTATTTAACATAAGCTGTTTTGTAGATGGTGCTGTTCTTTTCGTATTACTTAACGTAGTGGTTAGGTAGGGTTTTTTTGTTGTAGTGTAATGTATTGTAAATTGAAAATGTAGTGTAATGTTGTGTACGTACTGCAAGTAATGTATTTTATTATATGGAAAACTGGTCCACGATGAAAAGGAGCATTCTGATTGGTTCCCTGAGCGGTCCGAATTTTGCAATACGGACCGCTAAGATGGACCGCTCACGAACTCATTTCGCCGAATTCCTTTTATGAAACATTGAACAAAAGAAAACTGTTTTCTATTAAGTAGAAACATTTTTCCTCATGTCTGGCGGACAATTTTGGTTAAACTTTTCGCAAAGCGGCCTGAAAAATGCAAGGATATGCTTAGCTTTGGCGTGCGCGTGTTAGTCGAGAATGGTTGCATTAATTTATCAGCCATTTTTTTTTAAAAAGCCATTACAGTAATAAAAACTTTATTGAACTAGCTTGTTCGGTCCGTATTGGGAAATATTGGTCTCGTTCTTTTTTTGCAAGTTTATCTTGCAAAAAAGAACTCGACCAATATTTTCCCAATACAGACCTCACGCTAGTTCAATAACATCTATATATAGTATGTAAGGAATGTAATTCAAAAACTAAACATAATTACAATATAATTTATTGTAATATAAGTTAGTAATGCATTGTACCACGTATTGTAAGTAACGTGCTGTAAAGGAGCAAATAAACTTTGTAAAAAAAACCTTTGAGACTAAGAGTTCTTAGCTTTTTGTTTAATGGTTGAATAACAAAAAAATGTCATGGTATCATTTGGACCCACAGTAGTTTAATATACGACCCGCTAAGCTCCCAAGAGTCTCCTGTAGCTCAGTGGTAGAGCGTCCGATCGGTGTACGGAAGGTTATAGGGTTCGACTCATGTTGTAAGAACTCGGAAATTTTCATCCAACTTGGTTTGTGTCTCAGACTGGTTAACATCTTTCTCATGACGTCAATGTTTGTAAACATTATTATATACATAGGCAAACATGCCGAGCTTATAGGTAAAAAAGCAAACCGAGAAAGGCTTGCATGTACTACTTAGATTGTATTGTAACGTACAGATATGATTCTAGACATTACAGACATATTTTGCATTCACTATTCATATATTCATATTCACGTACGTTTGCATGAAACGCACCCCTGGGGCGTCACGGACTTATATACTGTCCTGGTAAATACACCTGTCTATTCCTGAGCCGGATCTCTAGTACAGAAGGATTGAACTTTTCATGGAAGAAAGTTAGTTTTTCGTGCGGAAGATCGGATGGCTTTTTCTGACATTTTATATTCCCATTGGTTAAGTTATAATTAAAGGAGCTATGTCACAATATTTTAAGTCATTTTTTCGAAGTGCAAAATCGCCTTCAAATTGAAGAAATAAAGCCTCAAAATAATAGTTTACTAAGGTAGAAAAACATCAAAAAGGTAATAATAAACCAAACGGGAACAAGGATGTTGAGGATGGAGAAGATTAAGACGGATTGCGAATGGCGAACTTGAAAAATTGGCCATTTTTTTTCAAGATGCGCCAACCGTGGCGTAGCTCCTTTAAACTGATCCAGATAAACTTTTTGACGTTTACCTAAACGAATGAATAGGTAGAAGAATATTTGTCTTTGAAATGTAAAATCCATTTTAATTATGAATAGAACGATCCATTAAATAATATTACATTTGCTAAGCATAGCAGATGTCCTTTTCAAATCTTTCCGAAAGATAAACAAACTTTGTACCTTACAATAGTTCAGCTGATAGTTGTATTGTACGGATATCCCTTTTCGTTATGCCTGTATTCAGCCATCTTTACGGATGAAAAGGTTGGTCTAAATTTACTTTAATTCCGCAAAATCTGCTTCTTTGAATGCGAAGCTCCGACACATGTCAAGTTATATACTTACAGGGCTGACCGAAGCACATAAAAAAGTTAAGTGTTGTATCTGAATTTGTCAGTAAGAGCTTATTGATATTATGTGGAGTAAATGTCGTCTATCTATTAATTTCATTTCTATGAATTTATTTATTCTTTGACTAATTCACTCACTAGAAGGTATAGGCTGATGGTATTGTATGTATCACTAACCGATATTTCAGTATAACTTCCCATAATTGCGAGTTTAAGTACAAAATACGTTAGGGAGTAGTAGGGCAAGTCCTGGGCTTATATTGGGGGGGGGGGGGGGGGGGGGTATATCGGAATGATATTTGCGTTTTATTGGGAGAATTATTCTCGGGAGGGGCGGGAAGGGGGTAGTTATTATCGGAATCATTGCGTAGCAGGCGTTGGAGGACCTTGGAGTGTACTTTGTTATTAGTCCAATAAGGTGTATGTATTGTAAGAGCGCGACCCTTTTTCACGCATGGTGAAATTAAGGAGTTTAAATTTATATTTTACTCCCGGGGTGGCCAATCGATAAAATCGATAATCGATAATTATTCGATAAAAATCGATAGAAATTGGTTAATCATGTCGGAAATTGATAAAAATCGATAACAGGGTTCGTTGTGAGTAATCGATAATTATCGATTTTTCAATTAGCGTTATCAATTTTATCGATAAATATCGAATTTATCGATACTACAATTTATCGAAACGAAATCAACAAAAGATATAAACGAACTCGCAAAAACACTAATAACAACTCTGTTTCTTCAATGGGTCCTTTAATAAACGTTTGCTACAACTTTTCGAAAAAGTTTTTTCTAAAACTTTTCAAAACGGTAGTTCAATAATGATTAATAATCAATGTAGATAATTCATTGTCATCCCGTACAGATGTTTTAAATACTACTTGAACATGAGTGAACAAAACTATAAAATAACTTTAATGAACTAACTTAACCGACTTTCAAATACGTCGGTTGAACCAACTAGGTTTCAATGTTCTGAATCCACGGTTTCCAGAATACAACAGTTTAGCAAAACTCTTGCTGCGAGCCATAGGCGACTATGTTACGGGGTCTTCGCTAGCACCTTCGAAATCTACATTTAAAGAGTCACAATCAAACGCTGCCGGACACAGTTTTTAAAAGCATTAACCAACGAACAAATACTAAATTTCAATTAATTCTATAACGATCGATAAATCCGATAAAATCGATAACGTTGAAACTTCACCAGTGTGTGAGTATCGATTTTTATCGATTGATCGATAAAATCGATAACGTTTAATTTCAAATTATCGATTAATATCGATTTATCGAACGGTTTTCCGATATCGATTTTTATGGATTGGCTACCCCGGGTTTACTTCAGGATCTCGCGAATCTCCAGTTCTATTCAATTTGCCTATCGGTGTCAGAACTAACTTCAGCTGAATATATATGTAAGACGACCATGTAAAGGCAGCGTCAAATTCAAAGAGAAACTTGCGGTTCACGTTCTCGGAAACCCCATAATTTGGTCATTTCACGATCAGTTGTTTTGCAGAGGACGGCTAAGAAATGTACCAAATGTATAACGCACGTGCAGAGCTATTGTACTGCTCATTAAACCTTTTATTTAGGGACGTTCTCTACTCCAGCGTCTGCTACGCCGGCTATTATGCAAAGAGTGGTTACTTTCGGCAGGGAGGGAGAGGGGAGGTTTGTCACTGACTGGATTAATCGTTATTTTCGGGACTTTACTTGCTGTTTTGGATCACTCCTGGAATAAATTGTTTGTCTGTTCTAAATATACTTAACAAACAAACAAACAAATAAGTCTAGTTTTCAGGGTAAATAGTGTTGCTCAGCGATCGCACTGACCAATATCCGGAACGAAACGATTATCTTCCGTTGAGATAAATTGAGCGTTGGGGGATTTTGACACATAAATATTTTCCGCGGGGAAGGCCCTGTTCTTACTGAATGACTACAGCGGTTGCTATGTTAGTGATAAAGGGGTTATCCCCCGCCAAGCCGTTTAAAATTAAATTGCTAAATACCCCTTAAATTGTTTTGTTAGATGTTTCAAAGTTACGCGATGTTATTCTTGGTAACAAATATTGCAACACCTGTAAGTGTGCAAGATAATACTCAAATCAAAAATTGAAATTAAAAATACAGCTTAAGGGTTAAAAAAGGAGTCAAGGTCACATCAAAATAACTTATTCTTCTTATTTATAATCGAAGCTCTCGTATGCGGAACTGGAGCTGGCCGCTGATACAGAGTTTGTATGAGCTAGAGTCCAAACGGGGTTTTGTCAAGGCGGCCGTAAGTTGAGCTGTCCGTTTACATGTTACGAGAGCGTCCGCTCAGAGAGCTTTGACTGTACAGTGGATCCGGACACGCAAAAGCCGGTCCGTATTATCCGGCGGTGTCCGTATTAAGCGGGCTCTCAGAATAAATGTCACGGACACATGTAGCACGCAAAGGACGTCAAAGAGGAAGAAGGCTACAAGCAATGACTGCAGTAAAAGGCCAAGGAAGTGAAACTTTTTTGTGAGCACAGTGAGCAGAGAACGTTGAGGTCTACAAGGGTCAAACACCGGAAGAAAGACAGTTACAGCTACTGTATTTTAATAAAATCGCATTAACCTGTAGAAAGCTTTCATTTTCTAACAGGGTACAATTAGCAGATAATCATGACAAATGAAAATATACAGTGCACAGATAACCAGTGTCCGTAAAGCGAGGTTAACTTTGTATGAGAACGTGTCACTCGGGTCACAAAAAAGTGTCCGTTGTCCATATTAACCGGTGTCCATGAGCTTTTCGTCGGGACAAACAAAACTGTCCGTAATATAAAGCGGGTGTCCGTATTAAGCGGGTGTCCGTATTAAGCGGGGTTCCACTGTACTGTCTTTTCATACAGTTCGCGTTTTAAATCAAAACCTTTACTTCGTGAAATAAACATGCAGGTTCTTCATTCAAAGCCGGAAAACGTTACGAGTTTCTTTCTCCTGACACTAGCCTGTGACAGCAGACGGAAATTACGTCTGCTCCCGCAGGTTATCCTGACACCGGATACGGAAGCCATGTATTGCATGTTCCTGAAATTGAATTAGAAAGTAAAAGCTTGATATGCTTGACTTACCATGACTTACGGCTTCCTCTGCGACGACATAATGTTCCGAAATAGTTCAGTACGGCCAAGGGTTTGGTTATACGGTATAGAGGGGATTTTTAAATTGGGTATGCGGTATTTTTAAGCTGAAGTTTGGGTATTTGATATATTTAAGCAGATATATAACACACAGTAGATATCAAGTTGAAATTTTAAAATATATTTAATTTATCCTTGTTCTATAGCATGTGTTCTCTTCTGTGGTTTTCTAATTTTGGGTATATTGGGTAGTTTTTGGTATACTGGTAACGACTACCTCCCTGACTCCCCCTCCCCCTCCCTCTAGCTAACGCTGAAAGCTGATACAGTGATCATGGCATGATCATATGACCATGCACGATAGGTCATTATGTATCAAACGTAAAAAATTATTCGACTATTTCTGAGAATAGTATCGCCGCCACTACTGAAAAATGTTAGACAATTGAGATATTTTTAACCTTAAACTTAAAGCACAAAATTGTCGTCTTAGACTACACTTTGTTTCGTTTGATAATTTCGCAAACTATCATTGCTTCTAGTCGTTTCGTGACATTGAATGTTCGTCATTCATGGCCGAGTTTTAATTGATTCTCTTTATTCCGGCACGGCAGGGTTTTAATTGTTCTCGTCTCGCCATTTATTCATGGTGCGGTGAGTCTCACTCCATTAACGATATATGGTAAGCATTTCAACTTCTCGCAAGCTTGCTGGAGCTCGTCAAAAAGATTTAAAATTGACTTTGAACGGTGATTGTATATGGCTTAGATGAAAAGATTTGCCACGGTTTTATATAAACAAACAGTCTAATGGCATCTACTTTGGAAAAAAAAAACAATTTGCGATAACATCTTCAACTTG